TATTATACAACATATAAATTATAAATGGAATTTTATTCTGACACTAATTAAGTATATGTATATATAATAGTGTCTAAATGGGTTAAAATTATTTTTAAACAAATTTCGAAACGGATTTCTAAGTGGATCATCATAGATTGAATAATTGATAAATTGTAATAAAATATTTTATTAATTATTAATTATCTTAAAATGATAATTTATTATTTATCGACATTCGATTTAAATACTTGTCACTTTAAATATATACGGAAATGTTCCATTTTCTTTATTTTATCTTCGAGTCACACAAGTCGATTTCAAGTTGTTAAAATACGATCCACCGTGATTACGTGGCATTAAATGACTCTAATTACAGCCAAACGTTCGAAACGCTCATTTTTAGAAAGTTGATGAATCCGTTCATGAGATCTATATTGTAAGACAATTGTTTCTCTCTCCCGTTGCTTAATATTTACCTCATGCTAGGTTCGATAAATGGGTTAATTGCTGCACACGAGTTTCCTACCTTAACTGCGTGATTTGAATGCAGCAGTCGATGAGTTTCTCTACCTCTTTCAAGAGGTAAATACCTGAGGCTCGTTATATTCACATCGAAGGTGTTCCCGGTGCAGGCGACGTACAGGGACATTCTAGGATACTTAGCACACTTGGCATCCGATTCTAATCGCGAGGGATTCGCGATTTATGTTGTTCCCAACTGGTACGAGGAGCCCCCTGGCCGATTCTACGCCTCCGTATTTAATAGGTGGTCATGAACTTATTGATGATGTGATTAACGATCGTTCATCGTTCGCTGTGTGTTGCTCGTCGTGTCCATTCCGTCGATCCGTTTTCTGCATCCGCATGCTGCATCCCTGTTTGTCACCGGCATTCATGGTTTTATAATGGAAACTGTGGGTCACTGAAAAAAATTTATTAAATCTTAACGCATCCTTTAGATAGTGTTCTTTGAATAGTATTAAGTAAACAATTAGTAAATATTTACTGGATAAAAAAATGATTTAATCAAATTAATGGTTTTTATATCCAATAAATATGTTTACGTTATAAATATTTATTTTAAAAATTTAGTATTTTTTTGAGTGTACACTGAGAGAAAAAAATGATTATCATACTTTAACTTCAATTTGTAATCATTTTTAGTTTACCAGCTATATATTTGTTTTGTATAACCATAAACGAAATTACTAACATTATAGTAAAAATAGAGCTCCTAATTATAATTATTTTATCATGTAATTATATAATAGTCACAAATATTCAAATACTTTTCTTTTAATATAGAGTGAGGAGCGACCGAATAAAAAAAGGCAAATAACTATTTAAAAATAATGTTATCGTTAATGAGAAACAGAATAATTATGAGTAATTATAAAGAAATAATTTCCAAGCGTTTTACGTAGTAATTTTTTGGCGATACGTTTTCGAAGATATGACCTGATATTATATTGTAAATTGAAAACATTAGGTGGATAACACTAAAACACTGGTGCAATAAGTTTGTCGTTTTTTATCAAGCACTTTATAATAAAATTAGAAAGTTCTTTTTTAAAAAGAAGAATGAAAATGATTTTAACTCTATTTGACAAATATGAAGAATTCTGTGCAAAAATTTAATATTTCGTAACGTAAGATTTTTTTCTTTATTTTTTTCATCTTCGACGCGATACACGCACTAATATTGATGCAACATCAGCGATTCACGCTCGTCGATTAAAGAAAGAAATATCGCGTCATGAAACTAATAATCTCGTCGGATAACAACGTCTTACGATATCCAAAAATGATTATTCACTGCTTCCTGATTGATGGATGTCGAAAGCTACAATTTTCTAACATCTCCGCGTATAACCATTCTGCCACCACCGGTGGCACGCGACCTCGTTGCCTTAATCTAACGTATCTTCGATATCCTCGGTCGTCGCACTCAGAAAAAAGTGTTTGGAATATGTGATTATAATTGCATAATAAAATAATCGTTAAAAGCTTCATTTTAGTGATTATTACTACTAAATAATGTTAGTAATAATAACTATATATATAGTTCTCTCATATAATATGAAAAATTGTACAAATTGTGATAATTTTAAATGTTCATACAGTACAAATATCAAGATATAAATGGTACATAAAATAAACATTTTTATTTAGTAAATACAGTTGCAATTGCAGTGAATACAACTCATTTTCTTAAATTCACTTATATTTGTGGCAATAATAACTAAAAAATATATTAAGGAAAAATTAAAGATTTTTAAGCAATGCATGTGTGTGACTATTATTAATTGACTATATGATTAAAACAATTATAAATATATAGTTTGTCCCCCAAAAATGACTACAGACTAGAACTAAATATAGTAATTACAATCATTTTTTTCTCAGTGTACTTTTCTAATAATGTCCCCGATCATGTGTATATGTCGCGTCTTTGCCGGCGTTATCTCGAATGATCGATCTTTTCGGCGTAGGATACGATGTGTCTATTATATGTCGCGCTATTACATAACATTTTCCCCGCATTAATCTTGGTGTGTATGCGCTGCTGGTATTCTGGGTGATAAACAAGCAACGCGGAAATATGTGTACAGCGACACGCAATGCATATTTTACATATACTTTCTCCCTTATGATTTGAAAAAATTGATATTTAAATATATAATTTTACGCTGTTATAAGCGCGCATTTTGCACATAAATATTCTCTTTTTTTTTTTACGGGGTCCCCATCGGTCAAAATGATGCAGATAAAATTACGGATTTTTGTGAACGGCTTTTCGAACTATTGGTCGCCGAATTTGTACTTCAAATATACAATTCCACGGGACAATCGAATTTTATGTTGTAACAAAGTATACATGTACTGCCACGATATTCTCTGTAAAATTTCCCACATGTATCCCGGGATATCCCTGAGGCGTTGAATATACATCCCGCTGTCTATATATTGACAGTTTCAACAGAATCAACGTGCATACGTTGTTGCTGCTGAAGACTCGCCCGTATGATCGCCGATTTCATATCCGCAAATATTGTGTCATGTTAAAAATAGCAGCTTGACTTTCCACTCCTTTACGGAGGGCAATAATCATTATATGCTCGCGACTTTCTACGTAATTCGGCACCTCTCACCGTGACTCCACCCTTCCGCCGTATCATCATTATTTCCGATTAATGTCAGTTGTTGCCGACATTCTTAATTGCCCTAGACACATTATGGAACTGTTTGGAATGGATTCCTATTTCTGTAGATATTTCTGTAGTCCTATTCCCTAGAAAACACAATAGAAATTAGGATTGGTAAACTTTGAAGCTAAGACATTAAAAACTTCAATGATCGAAACTTCGAATGTTCGAACCTTCGAAACTTCAATGCTTCGATCTTCAAAGAATAAAAAGTAGATAATTATTAATTTAATATAATTAATATGACACATATACATTTTCATTAAAAAATATACAAATATATCACAAATATATTCTCATTTTTTTCTATTCGCATAAATATATTTTTCGAAGGTTTAAAGTTTAACTTAGAACTTCGAAGCTTTAAAGGCACATCTGAACTTTGAACAGTTAATTAATTCAAAGCTTCAAATCTTCGAAGTTGTCAAACGTAACAGTTCTAATAAAAATCTAAGAAATAATCGAATAATTTGAATCGGAATCCATTCCAAGCATTCCATAATATGTTATTTCCATTTGAATGGTGCTAAATACGCGATAAATATTAATTTATCACAAACTTGTTGGAAAAAAAATTAGATATATATTGTTTCGAAAAAAGGTGTTTGTCTTTCACGAGATAAACGTGATTTATCGAGCGATCTACGAATGACCGTTACGGATAAATTTTTTTATCAAATTGCTTGTGTGTGGCTCGTTATATCACAGCAACACTACTATCACATATACGTAACGAGTTATGTGAGCGGATATGTTAATCAGCTGATAATTATGTGGTCGCAATTTTCAACCTGTATTAATCTATTACTTAATGGTTCACACTAACTTTAGCTTGCAGCCATTAAAGCGATACATTTCTTCGCGGATCGTCGGATTTGCAACAGTACTTGCACGCGTTCATTAATTAAGTGGGAAATAAACGAGCGAGAGTCACGGATAAGATTCAGCCAACTGGTTTAAGCTAGCTTG